CCAAGGGTGATTCGTCTGCCATCATCGTCTCCAGCAGTGGTTCCACCGGTGTCCCCAAGGGTATCGAGGTCCGCCACCTGAGTTTGCTCAACCTCTTCGAGGGTGACAGCCAGATCTGGAACCTCGGCCGCCCCAACGTCGTTCAGCAGAGCGCCTACAGTTTCGACATCTCTCTTGACCAAATCTTCACCTCTCTCGTCAACGGTGGCAACCTCTACGTCGCTTCCCAGGCGCAACGCTCCGACCCCCAGGCCATGGCTGAGATCATCGCCAACAACCAGATTACCTACACCATGGCAACCCCGTCCGAGTATTCCAACTGGATCAATTACGCCGCTCCCACCCTGTCCAAGGCCACGAGCTGGCGCCGCGCCAACATTGGTGGTGAGGGCTGGAACGCCACTCTGCGTGACTCCTTTGCCACCCTCAACCTGCCCAACCTCCAGATCCAGAACTGCTACGGTCCCGCCGAGAACAGCGTCTGGTGCACTCGTCAGCCCATTGCCTACCCTGCTGAGTCTACTCTCATCCCTGCTGGTCCTGCTCTCCCTAACTACTCCTTCTACATTGTGGACAAGGAGCTCAATGTTGTTCCCACCGGAGTCCAGGGCGAGATCCTCATTGGTGGTGCCGGTACTGCCGTCGGCTACTACAAGCGCACCGACCTGACCAACGAGAAGTTCATCGAGGACAAGAACGCTTCCTCTGCTCACGTTGCCAAGGGCTGGAACCGCGCCTACCGCACCGGCGACAAGGGTTACCTTATGGACGACGGCACCCTCGTTGTCTTGGGCCGCATCACTGGCGATACCCAGATCAAGCTCCGCGGTTTCCGTATCGAGCTTGAGGACATCGAGGCCACCATTGTCCGCGCCTCCAACGGCGTCCTTTCTCGCGTCGTTGCCAATGTGCGCGGCGAGGGCCAGGACAGCTACCTGGTCGGCTTCGTCGAATTTGCTGACGGCTACCCGACCGACCAGCAGAAGACCTACCTCACTCAGCTGCTCAACAAGGTGCCCCTGCCCCAGTACATGAAGCCCAACATGCTCACTGCCCTTGACCGCATTCCTCTGAACTCCCACGGAAAGGTCAACAGGCTGGCCCTTGCCACCATCCCTGTCCTATCCCAGGTCGATGCTGCTGAGATCTCTACCGAGGTCACCGACACTGAGCAGGCCGTCTGGGAGCTGTGGCAGGAGATCCTGCCCCAGTCCGTTATGGAAGGTGTGGTCATCAACGTGAACCACGACTTCTTCCAGCTCGGAGGTAACTCCTTGCTTACTGTCCGCCTCCAGTCTCGCATCCGCGAGGCTTTTGGCATCGTCGTTCCTCTCCCCAAGATCATCGAGTCCAGCAAGCTCTCTGCTTTGGGTGCCCTGATCGATGACTTCTTGGCTAACTCTGGCATCAACTGGGACCTCGAGACTGCCCTTCCCGAGGACATGCTCCAGATCTCTCCCGCTGACGCCTCCTCCACCACCCGCAAGAACGCCCAGCCCCTGACTGTCATCCTCACCGGTGCTTCTGGTTTCATTGGTCGTCACATCTTGGAGAGCCTTATCCAGGTCCCCAAGATCGGCCGCATCCACTGCATTGCCCACCGTCCCCTGTCTGACGAGCTGCCACACCGTCAGAAATTCAACGCCGTTGTCGCCTCTTCTTCCAAGATCTCCGTACACGAGGGTGATCTGAGCGCTCCTCGCCTCGGCCTGTCGGAAACCGAGTTCGCCGCTCTCGCCCAGCAGGCCGACATGATCATCCACAGCGGTGCCAACCGGTCCTTCTTCAGCACCTACGACCAAGTCCAGGCCATCAACGTCCAGTCTACCAAGGAGCTCGCTCTCATGTCTGCCGCTTCCCTGCGTGACCACCGCCGCGTCGTGCCTTTCCACTTCCTCTCCGGCAGCGAGGCTGCCACCATCGAGCCTGCTTCGGACGGCTCCCAGGGCTACGTCGCTTCCAAGTGGGCCAGCGAGCGCTTCCTCGAGAAGTACGCCGAACAGCTGCGCCTCCCCGTCCACATCCACCGCCAACTGCCCGTGCCCGAGGGTCGTGAGGCCCAGGGCGAGGAGCTCGACCAGATCCTCCAGGAGTTCGTCGACGTCGCCGCTAAGATGACCGAGCTGCCCAACTCGACCACCTGGGGCGGTCACTACGACCTGATCCCCGCCGACCGTCTGTCTCGCGACATTGTCGGCCACGCCTTCACGGCCCTGGCCTCGACCGACAACCAGATCTCCAGCCACAACGTCAAGCAGTATTCGCACCTGAGCTCCGTCCGCATGGACATTGCCAAGGTTGTCGAGAGGCTGGGCTCGCTGCCTGAGTACGCCCAGAGCAGCCGGCCCAAGATCCCGGCCCACGTCTGGGTCGGCAAGGCCAAGATTGCCGGCTTGCGCTACCAGTTCAGCACCATGAACATGGTCCTGCAGGATGCCGAGGGCAAGGGCCTCGCTACGCTGTCGCGGTAGAGTGTTGACCATTCTACCTGGCGTGTCTGTTCTTGTAAATAGCTTCACTTATCACTCTCATTGTTTTTTCTTCTGTCTCAAATCCTCCTGTTTACATCAGACTTTGTATAAAACTGTTTCCTTTTTCTGCAGTGGTGCCTTAAAATTTCCTGTCTTTTGAAATCTTCTTTGTTTCCAACTTCAATTTTGCTTTAAAGCATAGTTTGTATGTATTAATTTGAGAAGCTGGAGATATCGAATCACATAATCCATTGTTTTCAATTTTGTCTAATCCTTTGACTGCGTAATGGCAAAGACTTTGAGCATCTACTCCACTAAATTGTCTTCTAGTTTCACGACAACAACGTCTTAACCACGGTGAGCATCATTTAACATCTCATCTTTGACTTCTCGCAAGCAATGCAAGCTGCTCTTAGGTAAGAGTGGTTGTAAATCTATGTCGACTTTTCCCGGCAAAATCAAGCCAGTAGACATTGGCTCCTACAGTTCGCGATGTTTGCATTGGACAGGGCCCTTTTGAGGTTTCCTGTGGTCGGAAATGGTTTAAGTCAGGCCGTGATTCATTTATGTTGCAGGACATGTACAGATGCTTTACTGCTGCCATATGCTCTGAGCCGTTCTTTGTGTAGCTACTTATGATCACTGAAACATACCCGCTAATTTTGATAGACATTAGACACGCAGAGACACGTATTGCTAAGTAAATCAAGCAAGGAACTCATTTATACAACAAATGCTTTCTAGAGTCAAGTAACAACGGTATCGTCAAAACAAACAAAAAAGATCTATATACATCGCCTTAAGGCAGGTTTACTGTGCCCCTTGATGTAGCCCCACCCCCATGAAACAATCGTCAACACATATACACCGAAGAAGATTTCTATCTCTAACCCTGGAAGTCATAGACGAGCTTAGCCTCAAGCTTCTCGCCGTCATCCTTAGTGACCAGGACCCGCCTGGCGTGGTAGCGAACACCGCCGATAACAATGAAGCCGGCGACCTGCTGGGTGACAACGCCCTTGGACTCGAGATGCTCGGTCTTGAAGTGCATGACCTCCTCGGTGCCGTCCTCCCATCCCTGGCGGAGGTAGTCGTCGTCGAGATCGGCGAGCTTGCAGAGGCGGGAGCGACCGCGGATGTTGCCGAAGAGGCCGTGGTGGAGCTCCACGGGCTCCCAGTTCAGGACTCGCTTCTCCTGCGTGGCCGGCAGGCCGCCGCTGGGCTTGTTCTCAATGTCCAGCAGGATGTTGCCGTTCTCGTCCGTGCGCTGGCTGATGTTCAGAGTCACGTTCGCCATGGCGATCACCTTGCGGGTCAGCCAGTTCACGCCTTGCACCTTGAGGATGTCGGCGGAAGACTCGGAGAGGTCGTTGTTCTGTGGGGTATTGTTAGTATATGGGAGTTGGGTGATAGATGTGGGAGTTTGGGGTTGTCTTACGGTGGTCCAGGAGCCGTTAAGGTCGTGGATGGTCTTGGAAGCGGGAGCGGCCATTGTGTTGGTGTGGGAGTGGTTTTGTGGGTATGTGGGTAGGGATGAGTGGTGAAGATGGAATTGAGGTTTGGTGGGTTGATTGATTGATTGATTGTCTTATCTTGTTTCTGGGTTTCTGGAGCTTCCAACACGTTACTCATATATCTTTCGTTGTTTATAGATGACACGCTATGTTCTGTTGGCACTTGGTACGACTCATCCCACTTCGAGTATTCAGTTGTACATGGAGTAGCATGTCGCTGCCTAGTGGACGTCAGTCAGCCAGTGTCAAACACTACTGGCGTAGTGAATTCCCCCGTTTGCCGCGTCGGGCATAGAAAGCCGGTCCTTTGGGGGCCGCATGTCGTCGGGGGTCGACCGGGATCAAGAGAATCCCGCCAACAAGGTGTATAGGGCGGGCACAGCCGCAAGTATTGCGGTAATGGTGAATGGCTGTGTATGTGTCAAGTTGCCTCAATGAGGAGCAATGCCCGGGAATGCCCCATTGACGCTGGTAAAAACAAAGCATAGACATACCAGGGACGTAGCCACAGGCACAGCTTCAAAGGGAGAGCCACTAGCGCTCTGCTAACTTAAATGGGACGGAGGCGGAGATCCTCCCACAACCCTTTCCCAATCGGGTATGCAGGATGTCGGGCACTATCGGCACCATCAGATGCACTGCCAGGAGACGCTCCGACGGCTTGTCCATCCTGGGATCACGATGCGAAGCGATCATTGCTTTTTCTCTTCTTTCTTTCTTACTTACATATGATTTTCTCTCTCTCTTTTTCTTGGCCATCATCAACAACTCTCTTTATCTTTGCTTCGTATTCACACTTCCACCGTCCTCTAGTCCCAATTCCTTCACGAGACTAGCCCTATTTCTTTCATTCTTGGCATCACTAGCACTGTATCCACTAGGTTTGGGGGCCACTGCAAGCCAAGCCCAGAGTTCTAGACGTGCTACGGAACGCATTTACAATCCGACGCCAAGGCCAACCGAGTACTGACTGGTGTATCGCGATTCCCCAGCAAGGGAGATCAGCTCCACCATCATGTACGCGCGGTCCGAGAAGTCGCCCATGTATGGGCAAGACCGGAGGCACTCACAATCCCAATACGAGCCACCTAGCTACCCGCCTCCTCAATACGATCAAACCCAGTACGGCCGCCCTCAATCGGGAGGTCCCCAGTACGGGGCCTCTCCAGTGAGACAACCCCAGTACGGACAGCCTCCGTATGGACCTCCCCCAACAGGACAGCCTCACTACGGGCAGCCACAATATGGCCAACCCCAATATGGTCAACCTCAGTATGGACAGCCACAATATGGCCAAACACCTTACGGACAGCTTCAGCCCGGTCCCAACCCCGTGTTTGGAGGGCAACCCACCCCAGACCCCAGGTACGACTCACAATCGGGGATGACCACCATGGGAGGGCCACTGCCTCTGCCCGTCGTGATCCCGCAGCAGCGCCCAGGGTCTCAAGAGCGAGGCTTCATGGCCGCCTACGCGCCAGCGCTGGAGTCGTGCGGCATCGACCAAAAGACGTTCCTGCGCTTCATCGATGAGACGAACACAGCCTTAGAGGGCAACAAGTACCTCGCTGGCGTGCAAGTCGTCTCTCTTGGCGTGGGCTTCACTCCCGAGGTCATCGTCATGGGCGTCGCCGCGGCGGTGCAAGCGGGCGCCTGGATGGCCAACAAGGGCTACGTCCGAGGAAAGTAAGTGCCAACAAGACCCCGACTCTCCCCCCTCAAGGCCAACGATGCTGATCGCTTCAGGACCAACAACGTCATGGACAAGTACAACCGCGAGCTTTTCGCACCTCACGGTCTGTTCTGCATGATTATGAAACACGATCCTGAGCTCAAGGAGCCCAAGAATCCCGGCCGTCTCAAGCAGCTTGCCTCACTGGCTGTCAACGGCTCGAGCAACGGCGGCGGCAGTGCATGGATGCGTAATCATATTTCCGGCTCGTCGCAGGGCCCGGACGGTCTGCCTACGGCCGTCGCCTTGCTTGTCTACATGGACAACCGCCGCCAACACAAGAATTACCTGTCCGATTCCCCGCCGGAGTCACCCGCCTCCCAGAGCGGTGTCGTCCCCGCCGGAGGCAAGACCTCCACCAAGGAGAAGGCCAAGAAGGCCTTTGACAACTTCAACGACTACCTCGACCGTCGCGCTCGCGCAAAATACGCCGCCGAGAACGGCACCGACGCGCTGAGCGGGCCGACTGGTCGTGGCTTCAGCAACCGGTACCTGGACCCCAATCATCCGGCCGTCAACGGAGGTCTGATCGGCGTGCTGTCCGGTGGCGTGTTGAGTCCTACCCCGGAGCAGCGTGCACAGAAGAAGGCTGCCAGGATTGATGAGGAGGAGAGGAGAGTGCTTGACGAATACAATGACCGGAGGGATCGCATCTTGAACGACCGACGCAGTCAATCCGAGACAGATCGGGAGTTGAGGCGGTTGGAGAAGGACTACGAGCCTCGTCTGGAGCAGTTCCGCAAGAGGAGAAGGGAGCTAGAAGGTGGTAAAAGATCCATCAAGAGCGTAAGTCTAACTCATGCTGATTTGGTGGTCATGTTTTTTTCTGACTGGCCATGGCCTTTTGCAGAACATTTTGTACCTGATGATCGTCAACCTTCCGTCAGACGCCACTCTTGCTGCCGCTTCGTCGAAACTGGAGCACGAATATGGTCACAGTGTCATGACCGAGACGATGCCTCCTCCAGCGTACTAAACTTTCATTTCATGGTACATGCAACATGTCTTTTTTGGCGGTTTACGTGGAATAGCGGATGTTATGCGGGATGATTTTTTTGATTTTTCTTTGCATTAATCTGAATGTTGAATGATCTTGTGCAATAGACTAAATACCCTAATCAGACGAAAATGGACCCTTCTAGGCCACGTCAAGGTCATGCTCTCTACTGGTGTAGTCTATTTGCTCTTGATGATGCAAAGAATGCTAATTGCCCGTGCTAGACCCGGATACTGAGGTTGGTATCGAGAGGTATTTTTAGAATATACAAACAGAGCAATCATAAAAGCCATCCTTAGCGCAGACAACACTGTTGGGGATGATGATCAAAACGCCGAGATAATACATTCATTCCAGAATACCCGCCATACACTTTGTACTGATCAACTATTACAAATCGGCAGCAGATCCAAAGAGACAAAAGGAAAATAAATATATAAATAAGTAAATAAATACAAGAGAATCCATAAAAAGTGTGAGAGTTTTACAAGCTGAAAAGAGAATGTCGTATACTTGTCCAAAAGAAAGTCCTGCTCTTTTCTTTACCGGCTAGCCTCGTGGAGACGCACCGTGACCGTGTCACCAGGAGCGCTCACCAGGGTCAAGCCCCACCGAATCCTCTGGTCGGCGTGGACGTCCTCGATTTCGTCGAAACGCTGGAGCATACGGACGAGGACGTAACCCGCCTCGGTGAGGGCGAACTGCTGGCCAATGCAGATGCGCGGCCCACCGTTGAAGGGCAGGTACTCCCAGCCGGAGCGGCGGGCCTCCCAGCGCTCGGGCTTGAATTCTTTCGCGTCCTTGCCCCACACGTCCTCGCGGCGGTGCAGCATGTGCACGTTGTACAGCACGGCCTGGCCCTTCTTGATGTACACGGGGCTCTGGCCGTCGGGGCCGCCGCCGCGCGGCAGACTGGTGTCCTTGGTGGCGTAGCGGGCGTTGGTGGGCAAGGGCGGGAACAGGCGCAGCGTCTCGTTCATGACCTGCTGCAGGTACGTGCAGGCCTTGAGCGTGGCAAAGGTGATGTTTTGGGGGTTCTCGTAGGTGCCGAAGTCGGCGATGATGGCCTCGCGCAGCTTGTGGAAGACCTCGGGGTGCCGGGAGAGCAGCAGTGTGGTCCAGCTCAGCAGCGCGGCGGTGGTATCGCGGCCGGCGAGCAGGACATTGAGCAGCTGCGAGCGCAGCTCGATCGGGTCCTTGGTGGTTTCGGCCATGGCGTGGACAAAAATGTAGTGCTCCGACGCGCCCTCCTCGAGGAGCTGCTGCTGCTGCTTCTTCTTCTTCTTGTGGTCGTGCAGGGCTTTGGCCACGCACTCGTCGACGAAACGGTGGACTTCCTGGCAGCAGGTTCGGAACTCTTTGTTGTCGTACAGGAACTTCATGCGAGGGAGACGCAGGCGCTGCGCCATGTACCATTGGGCGCGGTCAAAGTTCTTGCCAAAGTCGGTCACCTTGCCGCCACTGGCCATGCGGTCCTCGGCGTCGCCCATGGCGGCCAGCTGGGAGTAGCAGCTCTCGCCGAAGAGCAGTTCGGTCGCCGAGTCGAGGGTCAGACGGAAGTAGATGCTCTGGATGTCGACCTCGGTCCAGCCGTTGCTTCCGGCGGCGGGGATGGCGCGCATGGCGTTTTGGACGTGGCGCTCTTCGAGACCCAGGTCGCTGATCTGCTCACGGGTGAACTGGGGCCGGAGCATGGTACGCGAGTGCGACCACTCGGCGCCGTCGTTGATGAACTGCAACACTGATTGTCAGCTTGGGTTGGCCCGATCTACATACACGCAAAAAACAAGAGGAAATTCTAGAACGTACGATTCCCTTGCCCAACAACGGGCCCATGCATCCCAGTCTCTCACCACCAACGGAGAAGTCCTTGAATTGCTTGGCCAACATGGCCTGAAGGTTCTCGGGGTCAAAGGTGAGCAAGTTCTCGCCCAGACCTCTCTTGAGACGGAAAGTCGAAACGTAGCGTCCGGCATTGTTGTCGCGCATGATGTTAGTGCGGCTCTCGAGCAGCTCTGGCACCACCTTGTCCTTGTCCGCCTGGATGATCTCCAGGATATCCCCGATAGCGAGGGGGTCCTTGGACGGGGCCATGGGCGCTGGCTGGCAGCCCAGGCGTTTGGCATTTTGACGGTGCCTCCATTTCTCGCTCACGATGCGCAGGATGAAAGTAAGGCCGACGAGGACCAGGAGGAGGGTTGCAAGTCCCATGATGGTCGAAGTAGTACTTGAGGATTAGAAGGGTGGGGATGATCCCTTCCGACAGCAGCGTCCATACATAGATATATCCTCGTTTTCCCTTTCATGTTTCATGATCACTTATTCTGGCCATTCCTAGTGAATCCCGCAGGAGTCGATACTATTCCACCCGGTAACTCTGTAGTCAGCAGTGGTTATACTGTCACTACATCGGATCTACTGTGGTCTGGTAGATCCTTCCGGGGCCGTGGCTGATCGGAGTGGATTACCGGGAAATGCTACCCAATTGGGAAAACGTTGCTAACTTGACCCGCTTTGGATCCCACCCGTTTTATCGCCTTTGCACAGCCCGACACCAACAGGGCTGCCCTGTTTTGTCCTTCATGTTTCTCGTTGGATTGCTAGTCCTGATGAGCCTCATTGCAGTAATCAGCTTGATGGTGAATCATGCCACCGACACGCTCGACTGCGTCGTACGATGCTCTACTTATACAAGCTTCCAAACACGTGCATTTCCCGCCTTCTGCTGGCGATACGAATTGGACCCATAGTACTACTGAACCCTGCAGCGCGCAAGGCTCTTGGCGAGCTTAGACGCCCTTCGGGAAATCGCCCCAGTACTATGTCTTGTCTGCTAATGCTCGGTAAGCGATTGGGCAACGTTGAGCCATCCCAACCAAGCAATCACGGAAAACCCCCTGGATCGTCGTCAGTGGTAGCACATGGCAATGGGCTGTCAATGACATGATTGTTGACCTCGTGGCTTTGCGTATTTCTCCACTTCAACCTTTTCCGCAGTCGATTTCACACGAACTGGTCGAGTCCGATTGTCGAATGATTGTCGAATAATTTTCGATCGGGTTTTCCAACTCTATGATCACAGCGACGCACAAATTCCAATTTTTCAAAGACCCATAGCAGTTGCTCAGGGGGCCTTCATAGCAGAACTTCAAAGCTGTGTAGTTGAGGTAAGTGGACTGTCCGGCAGCAACAATTGATATGGCGAATTTTCATCTCAGTGGCCGGTGCCTCGATAGTCTGCCAGTGCACATTCCTTACCGTTCGACGTTCGACTAGTAATAATAGCAACCCGACAAACAGCGGGCTCGTAGTGACGTTGAATTATCAACGGCGTAGACCTACAGCTTCAAAAACAATTTTCAGGTTGCAGGTGCTACTAGCCGTCGGCGAAAATTCCGACCGCGGACGCGATTCATTGTAGGCAACAAAAGAAAGCAACTTTTCGTACAAATCAAGCGGTGCTTGGAAAATTGTGCGAGCAGGAGATTAGAGTTGCCTCAAAGAAACAAATGAATATAGCAGAAGGGAAACCTATCATTAATAGTATAGCCCATATATCTCGACTACTCTTGTTATCTGTATCGTTGGCCTCATATGGAAGGGAATTACTGAGTTTTCCGGCCATAAGTCTTACTATGCTGGTTGGTCGGTGGTGGTCGATGAGGATGCATTTTATTCAGCTGTGTGGGTACGCTTACGTGCATGATTATACTCTCCCATCGTGTACAGAACAATCTTACCAGACACTTGTATCAGCATCAGAGAAGCCACCCGAAGCAAAGCCTCTTGAGGATTATGTTGATGCATTAACAGTCGCACAAACCGATCCAGAAGTACTCTTTGCTTCGGCTAATTCGGCACAAATAAGGAGAGATCAGGGATAAAGTACCGTACTAGTATCAGTCTCAAACAGCGACGCACGGTGCACCAGTTCATGATCATTTATTCTATCCTGCCATGTCAATGACATACTCACCAAGGGTGACATACAGCACGGGTAATCAGCTTTCATGATAATATATGAATACCACTGCATATCCATTAGACCCCGTTAGGGTAGCAGTGCCCTCCCGGCTGTCAGGATCCTGAATGCTCCGGAACCCGTACGGAACAAAACGACGGAATGGCAACTGGGGCTCAGAGAGTCAAGCTGTAGGGCTCGGGCGGCATGGCCTGGCCATAGTGGTCTTAGATAACGGTGGTGGAGACATGTCAGGCCTAGAAACATGGACCTAGGTCTAGAGAACATTCGAGACCAAGTAGCCAAGCCTCCAAAATGGCCAAGCATGCGCTGCATGTCATGCTTCAGCCTGGTGTGCTTCAGGCAATGAATCCACCGGACTTAAACCGCTCGGCCATCCAGTAAAAGACTAGGGTTCTGAGTCAACAGACGCAGAACGTGCATCCCTTATTAGCTTGGGTGACGTGAGATCGACCGAATCCTTGCACTGCGCAACGGCACATCTGCCTCGAGCAATAAGAATCTTCTTCTAGTTATTCTGTGCAGGCTCTCATAGCTAAAAACCACCACAGTCAGAGATTGTGAAAAGCCTTCCCTAGTACATTCATCAGCAGGAAATCACATAATCCATGCCATACTAGAACGAGCTTCTCGTTTGAATCAACTGAGTAGTAGAAGTCATCTAAATTCCCCGCCTCACCCAAGAAAATAATGAGATAAAAACGAGACCGGCGTAAAGAGTCTCTTATGAAAGGCCTACGAATACAGCAAGCTGTGATGCTGACATCTGCCTCGATATTCGTATCCAAGTGTGGCTTAGTCACCACAATTCTCTCTAGTCAGGCCTTTCCTCACAACGAGTGGGTTTTTAGTAGGCTTGCTGTTGGAATGGAAACTAAGACCAAATAGTTAAGAGCTCTACTATCACGGTTGATTCAGAATACGGAGGAGGATTTTGACTCCACACCTAACATAAGCCACGATCGCGTGGCCCGGACGGTCGAGCGGCCCATATAATACCGTAAAAGATGTATCTTTCTCGAATTATTATACCTGTTTAACCACATTTTTGAGGCTAGAACTTTCTCTAGTGATTAATGATTAGGAGATAAATATATTATAATTATTCAATAGTTTTCGACAAGATCTGGTTAAATTAAATATATAAATTATCTTGAATACAAGTAGTAGAATACAGGTTTTATAATACTAATTATCATTTGTAGACAAATATTCTGGAGAATTATCACATAAAAAATTCATTATAACCATAGTCGATGTTGGTAAACTAACGTCTCATCTTCTTTGTCTTCAAATCAAAAGTAATTTTCGATAGCGTTATCGGATGAGCGGCTTATCAGGATTCAGCCTGAATCAATCCTCCAGATACTAACGGCTAAGCGACCCAATAAAAGCTTAGGATTCGGAGCCAACAGACTCAACACACATCCCTTATAAGGTTACAGGGGAATATGAGGCCGATCCTCACATAGGGCTGCCTGCCATGATTCAGCCCGGTGCGCTTCATGCCGTGAATCCTTCAGGTACTGACCGCTAGGCGATCCAGTGACGGACTAAGATTCTGAGACATCCCTTATAAGCTTCCAGGAGGAATACGAGGTTGGATCCTCGTATCACTCCCCACTTCACCAGTGGGATTTCTTCAGCCCCCAGGTGCTTTTTAAACTGGCCCCCAATTCGAATCCAAAACTAGTCATGTATTCCCTCATGGTTAACTAGTTTACATCTCTAATTATCAGCCACGTGTACAATCTATGAATGAACCCGCGATTCTTGACTCAGAATCATATCAGGATTCAGCCTGGTGTGTTTCAGGCCGTGATTCCTCCGGATCCTCGACCACGAGGCTATCCGGCATGAGAGACTGTGATTCTGAGACATCGCTTAAAAGCTTACAAGTGAAGATGAAATCAGACCCTCACACCCCTTGTCGGTATCTTCCGCTTGGTTTCAGCATGGCAATTGCTTAAATACCTTGGCCTTCACGTGACTGATTTAGTGCTTATCCTGCCTCGGAGATTCCTTGTCCTTCTCCTATTCGAATTCTCTCCGCCATGGTCAAGGGGCTCATTCGACATCGGCTTGCGGGACTGGGTTCGTCGTCAAGGAAGGTGGATAGGGGAGGAGTATAATCTGGCCGGGTGTGGCATAGGGCTCCGGAAGTCTCCCGAAGGAGGAGCGGAATGTTGAGAATCCTGAAAATCCTGGCCCCCAGGGATCCTCGCGCTTGAGGCTGGGGGGATGGAGCCGGAGTGAAAAGGGCTGTCGCTCCCTTTCACCCGATCGACCCACTGGATCTGCGTCAGCTTACGTGGGGGCCAGAATGTCAGCAGACATTCTGCGCGAATAAGGAGGGAGAAGCGATGGCAAGCGAGATCCATGAGACGTGACAGACAACACGGAAAGTCCTAAAGGAATGAGGAAGAAAGACTGCACGATCTTTCTTCACCCTTTTGTGTGAAGATTACTTCGATAATTACGGTCTTATACAGTGACTTCTTGGACGCTAACATCCCAATACAATGAGAGGGGGTTGTTTTGAGGCACTAAATCAGGACTAACTAACGCGGTTTCAGGTACCGGGCTGAGAAATCATGTCTGTCTGTGTATAAGTAATTGACCAGTTGAGAGAGTCACGTGCCTTGGTGTATTTCTCCCATGACTATACCATACCGTGGCTGTATTTAAGCTCATTAATGGGCGACTCTATTAATATAATTAGCTATGTTAAACCCCTCATTTCCTTAATAATAGTATTTCTAGATGGGGAGAGACTTAAAGTCTGAGCCACCTCCCAGAATTAAAGTTGGAAGCCGTTTAGTATATGAAATCAGCTCAGACTGGATGATTTCGATGCTCCACGTGGAGCAGTCCCATCCCTATAGCAGGGGGTGCTTATAGTTATACGGGGTTATACTGGGTGATGACATGTATAGTCGATCAGTGATAGCTGTGCTGCGGTGCTTTGCTGTGCTTTGCTGTGCCCTTCCGGCTTGGCCACCGGGCGCTAAAAATCTTGTGTCTGTGTCTATTTAGGCACACCGTTTTTCGCCCACTTCCAATGGTCTTTGTCGTTTTGCTTTCTCTTTTTCCTCTTTTCCAATCCTTTTTTTACCCGTGTTCTTGGCCGAACTTGGCCTCCACCTCTCATCTGGCCTTCTCTTGTGTGTGTCTCCACGCGGCACCGGGACAATCCCCCCCCCCTCCCTTTCTCTGTGATTCCCACGTACTACGTCGGTGCGTAGGGTTTGATGCTTGGCCCATTTCCCCGCCTATTCATTCATCCATCATCATCACCATCATCATCACCACCACACACACACTCTCACAGGGCAGAATCGCCATCATGGTCTACTGCGGTCGCCCTTCCACAAGTTGCAATAATTGTCGCGCCAAAAAGAGAAGAGTAAGTCATTCCTGTTTTGCGCCCCTTTACAAATCACCGAAGATCATTAGGATTGGAGTAGTGTAAACAAGACATTTTGGCCCATGTCTAACCTCCCAAACAACAACAGTGCGACAAAGCAGTCCCAGAATGCGGCCAATGTTGGCGCACGGGTCAGAAATGCCCGGGATACAGAGATCCCTCCAGCCTCATCTTTCGCGATGAGAGCACTCAAGTCATCAATCGCGCCCGCTCCAAAGTCTCCAAGAGGACGTCGGCGACCACTCCAACCGACCGCCGCTCGGTGGAACGCACAGCCTCACCACAGGCACAGATACAACTACAACAACAACTAGAACAACAACAGCAGCAGCAGCAGCAACAACAACAACAACAACAAAACACTTCCGCACCAGACTATCCAACCAGCCGCCCCTCCGATGTTGTCGACGAGACCATGCTGGACATGACCGACGTCGATGTTGGAGCCGGGATTTTCGCCGGCGCCAGCTTCATGCCCGACTTAATGAGCTTCCCCGACCCTTTCAACCCGGACGAGACGGGGCTCTTCTCCCTCCATCCAGATGTCTCGCCCAGCGCCATGCCAATATCGGGCGACGGTCCTGCATCCGCTGCTTCTGTTCCTGCCTCCGTGTCTGGGCGCCGTTCGCGTGTCGGTGCTTCAAGTGTAGGCGGCGATGATGTGGCTCTCGATCATTTTCCTGATGACGGCACCCACCGCGGCGACCGCCAACAGCTCGGACACAACGACTTCACCAGCAGTCAGCTCGAGGTCATCGCGCGTCCCATCTCCTTGCCTCTCGTCGTCATCGGTCTCGATTTCTTCTTCTCTCACTACGTCGTTCCGCAGTCCGGTCCCTCCTCCGGCTTCTTGGACTACGCGCCGGCCATGCTAGCGCAAGACGACGGCGGCAATGACATGCTCGAGGGTGCCATTCTGGCGCTCGGCTTCAGTGGGCTCGCTCGCACCACGAACCAGTCCGACCTGTTGACCCGGTCCATGATGATGTACACCCGCACCATGGAGCGCGTCAATCTCGCCCTCGCCGACCCCCAGGCCGCCCGTCGCGACAGCACCATTGTCTCGGTCCTCGTCCTCGCCCTCTACGAGTTCAGCAGGGCCTCTCTCGACGGCTGGAAGCACCACATTGAGGGGGCTACGTCGCTCCTCAACCTGCGCGGCCGCTCCCAGTTCTCCACCCCGACCGGCCTGCAGATCTTCAAGGATGTCTTCTCCCAGCTCCTCACCAACTGCATGCGCTCCGGCTCTCCCATGCCCTCGAGCCTACGCATGCTGCGCATCGAGGCCACCAACGCCCTCAGCATCTCGGATCCCTACTGGGTCGCCTGCAGCGGCATGGTTGAGCTTCTCGATCTCTATCAACACATTTCCCCGGGCGGCTACTCGTTCTTTCCCAACTCTTCCGGCATCTCCTCTTCCTCCTCCTCCACCTCCTCCGCTCCCGCCGCCCCTTCCGATTCCTCCAACTCCCCCTCTGCTGTCTCCGGTTCGTCCCCGGCCTCTACCTCCTCCATGGCCTCCGGTCCTCTCAAGGGTGCCAGCATGTCCATTGAGTACCTCGAGCGCTACCTCTCCCAGGCGCTCGAGATTGACTACCGCCTCGAAAGCACCTTCTCCAACTGCCCTACCGAGTGGCAGTTCACCACCCAATCCAACTCGTCTAGCAACACCTACGATCCGACTCGCATCCAGCGCGACGTCCACCACATCTACCACGATGTCTGGATCGCCGACGTCTGGAACAGCATGCGCACCTGCCGCATCCTGGCCAACCACGCCATCAGCCACCTCCTCCTCCGCGGGGCCAACACCGACAGCAATTGGTTCTTCGCCAACAACTACGCCGAGCGCCTGCACCAGGCCACCCAAACCATCGTCCGCATGCGCGACGAGATGCTCGCCTCCGTGCCCCAGCTCATGGGCTACGCCACCTCGCCGACACAGGAGCTGCAGCTGCAGCAGCAACAGCAGCAGAAGCAGCCGCCCGAGCGCGCCAAGAACATCGCCGGCTCGGCCGTCGGCGGCTACTTTGCCTGCTGGGTTCTCCTCACCGTGGGCTGCATGCACAACCTCGGCCACGAGACCCGTGCGTACACGGCCGCCCAATTGCGCCGAATCAGCTGCGAAGCAGGGCTTGCGCAGGCAGAGGATTTCGCCAACTTTGTTCAATCAAGCAACCTCCGTCCACCATTAAGTGGATAGTATGGCAGCATCATTCAATTGTACATATTTAATACAGCGATAATCTGCATATAGAGCATACACTGTACATAGGGTTACACGGATATATATATATATTTATATATCCTTTCACTAATCAAAAGTTTAAAAATGCCTCATCTGGAAGGATTTAATGTGTTTGTGTAAAAATGTTCACGTCTTGCAAATCATATGGTGTGTTGCATCCCTGCACTTGTCAAAAAGCAAAAGACGTGCCACTTAGAATATGGGTGGACGGATACCATGTGTTGTACTACTTATTTGCATCTGTCGACTGCACTATAGTTTACCGTTGACAACAGCGGCTTATCAAGAGGGGTTTGAAAATCAAACTTATACTACGCAATGCACAACATCTCTTTGAACTCTCCAGATATGAAATTGAATAGTGATGACATAATTAAACTAAAAATGAAATAAGCTAATAAATACAATCATGACCAATTGACAAGACAAATGGGGGAAAATAACAAGAAGAAGCATCATCATCAACAACAATAAAAAAGGGATAAAACAGCCAGTCAGTCCCAAAGCCAAGCATCCAAGACCAACTTCGCAAATTATATACAGATTACATAAGGTATAGAATACCAATATTATAAATATCTACTGCTGTCCTGCCTCGACAAGTCCCACTGGGTCAAACTCCCCATCAGGATTGCGCAAGATCTGTTCCAGCGACTGCTTCAGAGTCAGCAGCAAGCCCTGGGCCCACTCCTGAGTCATGAACTCGTAGCCCGGCCAGCGGTTATTGTACGTGCAGCGGAGACGGAACTTCTCGTCCTCGTTGTCACGCCCGGGCCAGAGCTCCATCAAGACCGGGTAGCCGTGGTTGGTCTCCTTCCAGGGCTCCTGGAGGCGCTCTTCGCGAGTGAACCCGGGCAACGTCTCCATGCTGGTCTTGGGCAGCCCGCTGGCATCGACATCCACCTCGACCTCCTCCTTGGGGTAGGCCTGCAGGATGATCGTGTTGTCGAACCGGCGCGTCAGCTTGGCAAAGTCGATGGTCGGGCACGGCATCTCCGAGAACTCCAACGAGTCGACGTACTGCGTGAACAGCTCCTGGCAGATCTCGCGATGCGTGCGCTTCTTGGACCCGTCCGAGAAGACGATGCGTGTGGGCAGGACGTCCAGCATCAGCGCCACGCAGCGCAGTGCCTCGGGGCTGTAGCGCCCGTGGAACACGCTGCCAAATTGCACGTCCAGGTTGGCTGCCGATGGCTGCTCCGGGCCGGCGCTCTTGGCCTTGACCAGTGTCTGCGCGAGTGTCATGGCCCAGGCGCCCTGGACAATCGCCATGGGCGAGGGGAACTTGGCGGTCCGGGTGAAGGAGAAGAGGTCGTTCATGCTGATGGAGGCTTCGAGCATCTCGCACGCGGTGTCCTGCGCGGTGCGGATCGACGTGTACTGGTCGGGAGTGGCACGCGTGAGCACTGTCGCACCAGCCTTGAACGGCGCCACCCCGGCGAGACGCTTCATCCAGTACATGCTGGTGGCGAGCCAGTCGGTGCTGTAGTGCTTCTCGACGGGGAGGCGCATGCCGACCGCGGGCAGGTTGCTGGGGGGAAGGCCCTCGTAGGCCTTGGCGAACGAGCGGCGCAGGAAGTCGAAACTCATCCCGTCGTAGATGAGGTGGAAGAGGGAGAAGATGACGACGTGGTGCTTGTTGTCGGCTGAGCGCACGAACTGGACAACGGCGCCCGGGCGGTCCAGACGGATGTACTCCTCAGCGCTGCGCTGCGCGTTGCCGATGGTCTGCTCCCAGAGGCTGTCCGGGCTGGGGTCGTACTCGTGCACGACGCTGTGGACCAGGGGCAGCTGGGCACGGGGGTGTGCAGGGTTGAGGATGCACTGGGCGTAGGGGCTCAGGGGATGCTGGACCTGCACCCAGACGGTGCGGAAGGCGTCGTGGCGCTTGGTGACGTCGAGGATGGCCTGCTCCAGGCGGATGGGGTCGAGCTCGTCGGGAACGTGGTAGACAAAGTGCTCGATGCAGGGCTTGGTGATGTTCATCTCCTCGGCCTCCTCGACGAAGACGAGCATGCGGGTCTGGACCCCGGTGGCGGGCAGAACCTCCTCGATGTCTTCGCTGGCGATGCCGAGCGACTCGACGCACTGCGGACGGGCAACCGAGTTGAAGTGTCGCAGCTTTGTGGCCAGCGACATGGTCAGCAGCTCTTCCTCGTCCTCGATCTCAATGGCCTCGTCCTCGCCGAAGTCCTGGTCCAGCTGGTCCTGGGACGAATCGGCCAGCAACTCGCCAATCTTCTTCGCCAGGTCCGCAACCACCGGGTAGGCGAACACGTCACGCAGGAGGATAGTGGTATTCAGGCGCTGGTTGATGCGCTGGGCAACACGGGGGGCCATGAGCGAGTGGCCGCCAAGGTCGAAGAAGTTGTCGGTGATGCCGACGGCATCGACGTTGAGCACACTGGAGAGCTCCTCGCACACGGCACGCTCCACTTCGGTGCGCGGCTCCACGATCTGGCGAGAGCCCTTGGCCGCCTTGCCGAACACGCTCGCCAGTCTGGCCAGCTCCTTGCGGTCGACCTTGCCGTTGGCGTTGATGGGCATCTTGTCCAGCACGACGATGCGTGCCGGGATCATGTACTTGGGCAGCGAGGCCTGCAGCGCCGCCTTGAGCCGAGCCTCGGCCTGGTTCTCGAGTCGGCCGTCGTGGCCGGCGTCCTGAGAGTCCTGCTGAGCAGCGGCATCCACGATGTCATCCTGAACAGTGACAAAGCTAGCAAGCTCCGCCAGCGCGCCCTCAGGTTGGTGCACCAGAGCCACGGCATCGGTGACAGACTCGATGCGCAGAAGAGCATGCTCGATCTCGGGCAGCTCCACGCGGTGACCACGGATCTTGACCTGGAAGTCCATGCGGCCAAAGAACTCAATCATGCCGTCCGAAGGGCGGTGGCGCACTCGGTCACCGGTGCGGTAGGCGCGGACAGACTGGCCGTTGATGACCACATTCACGAAGCGGTTCTTGTTGAGCGCCGCGTCGGTGTATCCACGGGCAAGACCGTCGCCCGTGACGATGAGCTCACCCATGACGCCAGGAGGCACGAGGCGCTGCTCCGGGTCCATGACGAAGGCGCCCGAGTTGCTGATGGCCACGCCGATGGGCATGCCGTTGACACACTTCTCGTCGGCCGGGACCTTGTAGATGGTGCTGAAGGTGGTGTTCTCGGTGGGACCGTAGGCGTTGACGAGGTCACCCTTGATGATTCCCTTGGCCTGGGCCGCATCGCGGGGGTCGAAGCGGTCTCCGGCAGCGAAGAGGAGTTCCAGGCCGGAGAGACCCCATGGCGCGTTGGCAAGGCACTGCTTGAGGAGGGCCGGCGTGAGCATGCAGGAACGCACGGCTTCCCGCTGCATCACCTGTCCCAGAGTGATGGGATCGACGACCGTCATGTAGTCGATGCAAACGAGCGTGCCGCCGTTGAGCAGCGCGGCGTAGATCTCCCACGTGGCGGCGTCAAAGGCCAGGTTGGCAACGTGCGCAATGTTGCCACTTGACTGCGTCTTGGAGGCCACGTTAGTCTCACGCACCAGGCGCACGATACCGCGGTGTTCCACTTGGACGCCCTTGGGCTTGCCCGTTGACCCGGACGTGAACATGACGTAGGCGAGGCTCAAAGCTGTGGGCGTCGGCAGAGCGCCAGCGCAGAGCTGGCCTTGCTCGTCCAGGGCCTGGGCAATGTGGCGGAAGCTCACGTCCTTGAGCTGCAGAGTGGGAGGCGTGACGCCGGCACCGAGGAGGACGAGCTTGTCTCCCTGGACGGCAGAGAGGATAGCCTCGAGGCGGCCAACGGGAACGTTGATGTCGAGAGGCAAATAGGCGAGATTGGCCTTGAGAATGGCCAACAGGGCCATGATGGTCTCGCACGACCGCGGTGCCAGCACTGCGACCATGGTTTCCGGGGCGAGCCCGCGCTGGACCAGCCAGTGGGCGAGCTGGTCCGATTGCCGATCCAGCTCGGCGTACGTGAGCTGAGAAGCCGAGTAGGCGTTTTTGACGGCCACGGCGTTGGGGCTGAGAGAGACCTGTTTCCGGAAGAGCTCGACGACGCTCGCGTCGCGCGGGTAATCGGTGCGCGCAACATCTGCGAGGCCCATATCGGTCAGTGCTGAGAGACCCTGGGTGAGAGGCATGGTCGAGACGAGGGCCTCCGGGGTCTGGAGGCCACGGCCGAGGATCTCAGTGAAGACGGACTCGACCAAGCGGATGGACGAAGCTTCAAACAGGTCATCCGAGAAGAGGATGTGACCGGTCATGCGCTGAGCCTCCTGGATGAGATGGAATTCAATGTCGAAGTTGGACGTGGCTACCGTCACACCGTCGAACCGGGGGCTGTTGGCATCTTCTGACGAGTGAATTGCAAATGTCGTCTGAACGAGCGGGTGACGGGACTGGTCGGCGGCGCCAGGACGCAGCTTCGAGACGATCTTCTGGAAGGGGACATCCTGGTTGCTAGAGGCCGCGCTGTTGGCTTGCTGGACGTGCTGGACGAGAGCATGGAACGAGTCCTCTGGCTCAACGGTGGTGCGAAGGCATAGGAGGTTGGTGTTTCTTGAAGTGGGTGTGCCAATGGTGGCATCGTCGACGCCGGTGAGGCGGTAGTGCGTCGCCCGGAAAGCGGCGAGGAGCACTACAAAGGGAGTGACTTGATGTGTCTGGCAGAAGGCCTGAAGCTTTTGGTAAAGCTGGTCATCGAGGGCGAAGTGGTGGACCTGCGCCTTGCCCGAGAGAATGGCCGACCGGGGCTTGTCGCAGAGCAGCTGGGCGGGCTGGCTTCCCTGGAGCTGCTCTAGCCAGTACGCGAGCTGATACTGCTCGGTCTCGGCCATTGTGATGGATTAATCTTTTGTTATTGGTAAAGAATGAAAAGGCCAGGACGATGGAAGGCCGAGAGGATGGATCGTCAACACATGTTCAGCCCCACAAAGCAGACATCCCGGTCATGTTGTCTTTTATATAGACGGGAAAGCGATCATGTTGTCAGCAGTGTTCCTAGGGGGATTGCTACAAGTAGAAACCGAACCCTAACTCATGATCCTCCGGACTGACATTGTCTGCATGTAGTAACGATCTTGAAGAGTGGTGTAAGATTATAGTTTAGTCAGAGGAAATACGAACCACGCGGAAAGTAAGCTGTTCAAAGGAAGGAGACGGAGATTGCACTGTGTTTCTAGTAGGATGGGGGGGCTTCGTAGGATCAATCACACTAAAATGGGGCTAGTGGGCAGCTGGTGAGGTTTAGTGGCAGTGCTTCAGCTGTCAAGCCTTAAGGGAGGGATGGCTACGTAGAATGGGTGTGGCTTGCAAAGTGCGAGGTAAGAGACAAGAGTTGTGAGGTTGGGGGAAATGTTACCCGAAATGGACAGCTCGAAGTCCGGCGAAAGGAACCAAACGATGACGGAAACAGAATAGCGGTGCCAAAGATGACAGGGGAAGGAGATCTTGGAGGGGGGCGATGACCAGGTAGTTCAGTAGTTCAGTTAGGACTAGATTAGTCTAGCCGGCAGCTATCCACATGCCCTTACATCTTCAATCTATTCCTAATGGGGTATGCTCGATGTTAAGGGTTCCACATGGAGATGCCCGCAAACCCTCAAGATGTCACTGAATACCTCGTTCGTCTTTGTGTTCAGGTGCACAGCCCGAACGCATTTCAATCGCTTTTCATCTTAAACCTGCTTCACCACGGGAATTCGCTCTCTCTCATTTTACACCCCTCGACGTTTATTTCATTTATTCCACTCGGATCATTTTCTCCTCCAAGGCAGAAGGAGCTGGTGTTCGAATAACTCCCGACTTCAGCCCTATCCTTGATACTTGTTTTATCAGATCATACCAGTTCTCCGGGGCCTTCCATACCTGCCCTGACCTCTTAGTCTAGACTGCCCATCAATCAGCCATCCGCTATCTCCGCCGCTCCGGCCCCGCTCGATCCAAGATGGGGAAATTTACCTATGAAGATGGTATCGCGTTGTTGCAGCTCATCGCCTTCGTGCCCTGCCTCTTCCTCGCCCTTCTGTTGTGTTACCAGCAAGGAATGAAGGCCGTGGCATCATGTTGGAGATTCCTCATTATCCTCGCCTGTCTCCGAATCGCCGGCGCTGTATGCCAGCTCATCACCATCACTGACGAATCGATCGATGTTATCACCACCAAAATCACCTGCGACTTGTTGGGTATCGCTCCCCTAACCCTGGCGGCTGTGGGTTTGCTGCAAAGAGTGTAAGTCGCAACCCTGATATCCACCTACGCGTGACTCGAGATTAACATAGACATGTCTTGTTTCAGAAACGCCTCGATCAACAAACTCTCCAAATGGATCTTCATCTTCGTCAGCATCGTCAGCTTGGTCGGACTGGCCCTTGGTATCGCCGGCGCGATCAAGGCCCTTGACACCTACACCATCCCCCCAATGCTCCAAGCCGCATTGGGCATGTTCGTCGGCTGCTTGGGTCTCCTGCTGGCCATTCTGGGGTACCTGACCGTCTACCGCCACGAGATGCCTCGCAACGAGAGAATCATCCTGTACTCCGTCTACGCCTGTGCCCCGCTGCTCATCGTGCGCACCATCTACGGCTGCCTGGGCGACTACACGGACATCGAGCGGTTCAACCTGTTTGAGCCCAACCCCACCGTCAATCTCTGCATGGGCGTCCTCGAGGAGATTTTCCTCATGATCATCTGCCTCGCTGTTGGCTTTTACTGCCCCCCGCCCAAGGAGCCCGAGCCTGGTAAGTCCTATCATCATGTTCTAGCGTGATCTCGATTCTTTCCCATGACGAATACACACGCTGACAAATTCGTAGAAGCTTCCGAGACAAGGAACTCGGACGAGTCCACCATTGTGGAGAGACGCTCCTCTTCCCCCAACCACACTTTGAACAAGGAGAAAAGTGCCGAGGAGGGACGCATGGGAACCACCTCGCCTGTCGAGGCTATGTAAAGATCTGGGCTTTCCCTTCCACTCGTCACAAAGCGCGCCCGCCTATACCCATGCACTGTGTCGGATTGATAATAAACCCTTTGGGATTGGCCCCTGCGGGCAAGTCCAGAGATCTGGCGAATCTGTTTTGATTTGGTATGTTTTTTTAGCGTTTAGCACCCGTTCATTCATTTGAAACAAAACTTCGAGAACTAGAGTAGTTTGTTAGCAATTGCTAAATACCAAATACCCCTTTCTAGGAATTTTTCTGTCTCTCTCTTTGCGAATCTCTGGAATTGATAATGGCCCTTGACATGAAGTGGACAAAGCAGGGTTATGGTCCTGAGTCTTGCGACATAATGCACTGAGTACTGTTGAATTGCAAGGGCCAGAAAAGGTTCAATGGTCGGACAGATATCACGAAATTGAAATTGTTAGTGTGTATACAGGCCGAGGGGGTGTCGCGTTGGCTCAAGTTGCGAATTCTATTCAGCACATCGAGCACTTCGTCAGCTGGCCTGACCTTTTCAATGAACGACCAGAACTTATGTGACCTCCACATCCACATATGGGTCAGGCCGTACTCGATCAGAGCTCATAGATGCGAACCGCACTGATTCTCCTGGCATATGAAATTCTTTCAAGTGAATAGTTAGGTATAATGTATTACAAGCGTAGTTTTTAATTGCACAGCCCCATCATACCCGGTTACTTCTAGTCTTTTATCCTGATTCGTAAGTAGTCAGACTTTCTAAAGAACGACCTCGATATCGGGCATTGGTTGAATAGCAGCTTGAGCAGGAGTTTCATAATGGAGGCAATACTATTGCCTCTATTACGCAAGAGTGGTCTGTTTATCTATCTACTATCCTTCTTGAGTCTGAAACATTCATTCCTTAATATCTACTAATTATTATTTTGGAACTATGCGGTGGAGCTACGGGAGATGGTAATAAACATTTATTCAACAACACTGACTGGTTTTCTTTTCAATATAATGAAATTCGAAATCTAGCTAAGGATTCATCTATTACTATACATTAGCCATCCACATGCAGCATTACGCATCAACACATATCCATCTATGGGGCAAAATCAAAGATCAAAAATCAATGTCTTTTAGTGAAAAATAGAACAGATCAACTCCACAATGCGTGCAAGACAGAGGTGGGGGGAGTCTGATTCTCTGAATCTCAGAATGAGATGAAATGAAGCCGAAAGAAAAAGGGTGCAACAGTCAAGACGCGAACACGCGTAACGCAATTGTTTCCCCAGATTAACAGACGATGACAATCATCCGTAAGAAAGAAAAGAAGAAAATGTGTAATCAAGAAAGGAGTAAGTGAAGAGAAGAGAAAGAAAAGGTGTATCAGTCTATATGCAACAGATAGTGATGGGGGTAATGTAACTCAAAAACAAAGGGGTATGTATGCATATGTATGTCTATAGTGATCGACCAGTCAAGACATGACTGGCAGATTTGAATGCCAACAGGGAACAGCAAGGTGAGAAAGACACATCCTACTCAGCCTGCTTCGACGCCTTGGTCCTCAACTTCATCAGCACATACACCAAGGCATATGAACTAATAGCGAACAAAGCGACGATTGCGGCATCTCTCCACCCGTAGTAATAATCCTTCAGGTTGATGGTATACAGGTAGTCACTTCCGCGGCTGTATTCGCAGACGTGGCAATCGGCCGTGGCGTCAGGGTTGATGAGGTTCATGCGCGCGCCGGCACCCATCATGTAATCCTGCAGGTACTCGGCACAGGTCGAGCCGTTGGTGGGATCGAAGATGGCGAATTCAGATTCCTTGCAGCGGACGGGGGTGTCAAAGGTGGTGAAGACCAGGAGACTGCCCATAAGGTAGTTGAAGGGGTCGAGGTAGTAGATCCAGTAGCGCCAGAACTCTTGAATCTGGGTGTAGGGGACCAAGACACCGCAGAAGGAGGCGAGGGTTCCGATAATTACTGGGTTAATGAGTGAGGCGAAGATGGCGTTGGGGGCGTAGGCGGAGACGAATTGGCCAATACCGGTGTAGACGAACTCGTACATCAGCATGACAAAGAAGACAGCACCGGATTTGTCGCTGTCTGATGGGAAGCCCACGGTGTAGTACCAGCAGGCGAAGTAGAGGACAGCGCAGATGCAGAGATAGGGAATTTCGGAGACGATAAGACCGGTCACGAAGGCGATCCAGGAGTACATTTTGGATTTCTTCTCACGAGCGTCGTAGATGTCGCGACGTTCGAGGAAGAGGGGCTGCAGCTGGTTGATGACACCCGGGGCGACGAAAATGAAGTTGAAGATGGTGAAGAGACGGAGTTGAAGGGCGCCGATATGATTACCGATCATCCAGAAGGAGAAACCGTTGAAGAGGGCCGAGCCGACGTGGAGAGCCAGCTTGTTGTTCACGTAGTCAGTGTTGCGGTAAACTGCGACGCAGGAGCGCTTGGTCACGATGAGGGTTTGCTGCCAGAGGGGCATGGCGAATTCGTTGCCGTCATCGACGGTGCCGGGGGGCTTGGAGGCGGCCTCATCGACGATAGAGTCAAGTTCCTTCAGGGAGTTGGTGTGCTCGGGGGAGTCCTTCCAAACTTGGTGCCAGTCGCGACCTTGGGAGAGCGCGCCAGAGACAACGTCAATCATGTGCTCGGCTGGGTTGGCTTCTGCGGGACAGGGGGCACCGTAACGAGCGAAGTAGTCCTTGACGGTTTGGCCGTTGTCACCGATGTCACCGAAGTAGACCATCTTACCACCCTTGGCGAGGAGAAGCAGGGTGTCGAATTCGGCAAAGAGTTGCGCGGAGGGCTGGTGGATAGTGACGAGAACAGCTTGGCCGACGTCGGCGAGCTTACGTAGGAAACGGACGGTGTTGTATGCGGATTGACCATCAAGACCGGA